GTGTTAGACGACGAGGTGGGGTTTCTTTACATATTGCCATACTTTTGTCTATGTGTAGGCCTGTGTGCACTGTGGGTGCATGTAAAAATAGTTAGCAAGCAAATGATAACAATTATGCTGCGTTGCTGGTTTAAATATTTAGGGTGATGGATTCAAAACTAGAGAATCTCGGTCAAAACATTTTCTTTTTATGGATTTTGATCTATTTATTTTAAACTGCTGGAAACAAAAACAAGATATATGAAATGCAACTAAGGTCGCCAGTCAGTATCAATCAGTGGATGTTGTGGTTCATGGTCGCAGATGTGTCTCACTGTTGCGCTTTAGGCGGTCTAGCCGCACAGAAGTGTGCAAAACAGACTGCTAATAGGAGAGGTAAACCCTTCTGGGTGTTCTTTTTAACAAGCAAAACAAAAATACAACAAAAATAAAGTCTGACTCATCACTTATTAATTAAATGACTCCTTTTAGTTGCTTGTTTTAATACCAAATAACTGTCAAATCAATTAAAGACAAAGCAACTGTTTTTGAAGATGCAACAGCTTTGGCTTCCTGAAATATTCAGAGAGAATGTCACGCCTTTAATCGCAAGTGTCGAAGCCAGATTCAAAGTCTTATTGGAGTCAAGGGAACTGAAAATTAGTCTTTGAAGATCAGACCTCCAGTATGCACCCTCTTCAAAATCCCTAGACCACCCACTGCTTACAGTCTCCAGCCTAAAACATGTAGAGGTTTGAAAAGTCAGCAAGCACAGCGAACACATGTGCACACTGAGGGCCCTTAAAGCTTGGTGCATTGGTGCTGATACAGCAGTTTGCTGAGTGGCTAGCAAAAACAGAATGGGGAAAACAATGTCCTTTTATAGCTTGTTTCATATGATGTGACAGTTGAATTCATATCCATCTATTATATGAAAAAGTGATATGTGATTCTAAAAAAATTGCTTTAATTAGATCTGGGTCTTATTTTCATCCTAACATATATTATAATAATAATGTCCAACTGTCCAATTCAGAGGATGAGATTGGGTGGAGCTGTGGTTGGAGTATGAAGTAAGAACAGGCCTTACATACATAGCAAATGTGTCTAAAACCATTAAGATACAACTTAAGGTGAAATAATCTGTTTTCCTCTTAAGCAAGAGGTAAAAATAGGCAAAAGAGGAAAGATTCCTGGTGTAAAGTACAGCTTGTCACGGCGCAGCCAGCCTCTGGCAGCCTGACGGATAAGTCTGTGTTTGCTTTCTTTTAGCCCAATCTCATATGCTCTTTATCTCTCTCTTCTGCTTCAGGCGCTGTCTGCACACACACAGCTCCTCGTGTGACTGCAGCAGGCGGACTGCATGTGTTTGCTTTGCTTAATGCTAACCATGAACCAATAGACACAGAGCACATTGGTCAGTATCTTTTAACCCTTTTTTGGTGCAGGCTATTTCAGAATAACAGATACTCACGTCCTTTATTTAAGTCACTGGAAATTATAATGTTCAGAGATTCTTATATTTAAGACTGTTGGTGTCCTTTGGCAGTTTTTGAGAACTATCAACAACCTGTTATATTTATTGCTGCCTTTTTGAGATTAACCTTAACATAATGTAGCTATTTATTCAGCACACTTCTCCACTGGTTTAAAGTAGTTATAGCCTACAATAAATGGGCTTCACAAAATAATAGGAAAAAATGGATTTCATTTTGATAACATGTTAACTTTCCAATAGAAGAGAATATATACGACCAAATTTGAGTAGAGGTCATCCCTGTGCTGTGCTGATTGCTACAGTCTCAGTCTGAGATATAAAACAACTCACTTTAAAACATGCAGGCTGCTCTGTTTGGTCTCAGAAGCCTAAGAAAATGTTTCTTTGAATTTAAGCTGATCTTTTACCACATTTCACAGCTGGTGCATTTCTTCTTTGCATATATAATTTTTTTTCTTGCCTCTGACCTTTTTCCTATCTTACCCAGGCCAACTTTCTCTCATGTGCTTCTAAACATTAAAAAAATAAACAAATCAGAAGGCTTCTGCCTTCGCACTACAGTTTAGCAGAAATCAGTCTAAGATCATTTCTAAGATAATAACAATTTACCTCCTTGATTAGCCTCCACATTCTCTAATTCTGTCCATCAGGCAGCTTCACTGGATCCTCTAATGAAAAGGCCAGCTACTCAACACTACTTGAAAAACAGTCCAATAAAAGCAGTTAAAACACCATACTTCAAAACCTAAATATAGAAGATAATCTCAGAAAGGTCAAAGATAGGTCATAGATGGCAAAGGCCACAATCTGGATGGAAAAATATGAAAAGAAAAAAAGAAAATGAAGGAGGCTGGAAAATGAAAAATCAGTAAAGTGAATAAAATGAAGAGCTGTCCCAGCATCCTCTCAAATAGAGAAAGGAACAAACTGTCAAAATGGAGAGAGGGAAAAGCTCGAGACGTGTTTAATAAAATGGTTAAATTCATTGTCGCTTGCCTTCATCCACTCTTTACTTTGGCCAGGCTGGGCTGAAAAGCTCAAATGTCAGTTGTACTCAGACATCTCTTGTCAGGATGCAAAAATAGCCCGAGGACAATGCGCTTGGAATCCAAACCACAACAAGCATATGCAGGGAAGACTCACACACACCTCCTACAGTACAGTGAGATAGTCTGGCTGGGAAACCAGTCTGCCCCCCCCTCCCCGTGTCAAAGTGAAGAAGGTTGCGTCACTGAAAAAGATCTCCACTGGAAACTGCCGAGGGTTTGATAATAAACACTCCTAGTAACAGGAAATTTGAGTTGTTTAGTCGTGACAAAGATTTATGTCTTACTTTTTTATTTTTATGATCTGGGTAATCTTGCAAGCACTCTACTCCAACTTGTACAAGACCTCTAATATAAATTTGACTCATTACACGACTATTTTAAGAGACATGCAGTATTTTACCAGCCTCGTCTCAGCTTACGGTTAATTGGACCAATTTCTCTGACTTGCTTTGAAAGCGACAGCAGACAAGGAAGCATTTGAAACAGTCCAAAATAGATGAAAGGATAGATAGTTGATGATTTTCTATTACATGACGGTACAGAAGATTTCAGAGTCTAGGTTTTCTGTTTAATGATGCAATGTGAAGCATCACATCTCATCTTCTGAACACTCACCTGCTGTGATCGTCTCGTGTTCACCTTTCAGTTCAGTTTCATTTATATAGTTCCAAATCACAACATAAGCTACTTTACACAGTGAGGTCAAGAGCTTGCAATATTATACAATATTACATTCATAATTTTGCATTCTGCTGTTATTTACATAGCATCCTGTGTTTTTGGAAACAAGGCTGTGGGGAGATAGCCAGTCACTGAGCATGCACTTAGGAACTTGGTAAGGGAAAAACTCCCCTTTAACAGGAAAAAGCCTCAGGCAGAACCAGGCTCAGGGAGGAAGACCATCTGCCCTGACCGGTGAAAGTGACGGTAGATTGGAGAGAAAAAAATGTGCATTCAAAACCAACTGAAAAAAAATCCACTAATCAGTTTGCTTAGCCCAGAAATGTGCAAGTCATGAGCCAGAGATACTTGCCAAAGGTACATCCAAAGTGAAGACACAATAGTATCTTGCAATAGTGGCATAAATGAATTGAAGGTTAAGGAGATGTAAGTATTTCAGAGGTGCTTTGTACATCTCAGGACCTTCCATCTTGGACGTAAGGTCATGGTCACCCAAGTCCACATAAACTTCATTAAAAAGAAACATTTTAAGGATAAAGCCCGACTGAGTAAAGACCAGTGGATGCACTCCAGTCCTATCAGCCATCTGAGGGAGAGCTTAGCCTGTGCTGTGGCATAAGATGCCAAAATGTGGAACAAATACTTCTAACTTGCTTCCCAGTAAATGTATTTATGCAAAATTGTCCTCACATTCTCCGTGTGCTCATTTTTTTTGTCCACCCTCTTTGTTCTCATTTTGCTCCATCTTTCATTCCTGTTTTCATGCTTTTATCTTTTGCTCTCTAATCCTCGTTTTTCTGTCCTACTTCATATTTCCAGGCTTTCCTATACACACACACACAAACACACACACACACACACACACACACACACACACACACACACACACACACACACACACACACACACACACACACACACACAATTTTTTTAACTCACTCTCTCACTCTGCAGGGACCAGGAAGTGAGTCAGAGTCCGGGATCTTAGAGCTGAATCTATACTAAAGGATGGACCCCTCTCTCTTGTTTAGTGTGAAAAAGACCACGGCAGGGGGGCATGGATCACGCTGGCCTTTATTTTAATACATTTGCAAAAAAATCAAATTAAATAAATATTTAATTTATTTAAATACATGAATACACGTTTATGTTTTGATGAAAATGTGCATCACACTGTATCGCATTATGTGTGATGGGAGGGGTCCGGTGACATTTTTCAAGATAAAATACGAGAGAGAAAAAAGTCTAAAACTGGCAGAATTCTCTGATAATTTTATAGGATTTTTATCAGTTAGCAGAAACGATACGTGGATTTTTCGTTGTGAAAAGATCTGCTCTTGCTTTTCTACTCTTACGAGCTCAGCGATGTTGCACGCTGACTGCTCCGACTTCAAAGTTGTTTTGATGGATGTTTTCAGAAATATTTCATCACTGGTGATCCTTTCAACTCTAAAGTTCCTGCACAGTCACAAAGCAAATCTCTCTCATCTCCCTCTCTCTCCTAGCAGTGGTGGCGTGTTTTTTAAAGACTTTTCCTTGATTTTAAATATGCATTTAAACACTTGAAGCCCAGTTTTCAGTGCGTGTTTTCAGTGCGTGTGTACGAGTGTTCGTTATTACCGTGTTCGTTTCTGTACACTTGTTGATCATTTCTTCATTTTATGTGCACTCGGTAAAAGCTAGAACCGTTTTCCACCCGCACATGACGACCGCCAGTAGAGTGACGTTTTCTTCATTTAACAGCTGTTACCATCACCGTTTCCAATTGGCTAGATCCGTTATAGGTGTGGTCTGGAAGAGCGATGCTGCGTCCATTGTTAAACCGACCAGTTTTATTTTGAACACTGAGCTGTAAAGAAGCTTGAGCCGTGTGTGATCCGTATGTATGCTGCGGTTATAAACGTCATTTACAAAATGTTGTGGTAAAAAAGAAGTGCACTTGTTCGAGGAATTTTTCTCTTCTTCTTTTTTGTGTGTTTTGAGTTAAATTTCCACCTGTTGCAGGATTGAAGACACCACCAGCTCACTGTAAGGAATTAAACGAAAGCTGTGGTCGATCAATCTCTGCAACTTGGTTTGAAGTCCGATTGAAGTTTGGGAGAAAGTGGAGCATTAATTAAGCAAAACGAGGATCGACACGCAAGTCCTTTCCCCCCAAGCCATGATCACTGGTACCGTGCGCTCCTCACGGTGTGCGTAAGCTGCTGTGGAGAATCTTCACATTATGAGACGCCATGGCATGGTGTGACCGAGGGGTTCAGACTTTGCTGGCTATTGTGGGGGCCTTCGTCGCCTTTAGCCTCATGACCATCGCCATCGGCACCGACTACTGGCTTTATTCCCGAGCCTATATTTGCAATGCAACTAATGCCACAACCGACGAAACCCAGATGCAAACCAAGAAAGTCAAAGGGGACCTGACGCACTCCGGGCTGTGGAGGATTTGCTGCATCGAAGGTAAACAAAGTCTGGTACCTTATGCAGTGACTGTGTAAGTTTCCAAACTTTTTTTTGTTTTATTTCGACTGCTTATAAACGATTTTCTCACTGTTGCGCCACCTGATTTCTTCCGAATGTTTGCTTTAACGTGGGGGAGGTGACGGTGTGCACAGAGATTAATTAAATAGTCAACGAGTCTGAACACCTGACCAGACCAGAAACGTTGCTAATTTCTAAAAAAGTTCGCATTTGTTTGGAACCTGCGACAGTTTGTGTGATATTATAACAAACCATTTAACACAATTTCCTTAGGGATTAATAAAGTATGCTGATTCTGAACTTTATTATCAGAGTCAATTCTCCCTTTTTTGATGGAATGACATGAAACATAATTTAATAATTTACACAAGTATTATATTTTCTACGAGAATCTGAGTGAAAGAGCTTCGTGTTGCGCACCAAGGAGGAGTTGTGTGTGCGTAACGAATCTTTTACATCTTTTCCCCCCCCTTAAGGTAAATTATACATTCACTGAAAAGGGAAAGAGCGGAGAGATGATGGATTGAACACGAATACGATTTAATGCTGTGAGTTTGCTTCTATGGCAGAGCATGGAAGAATGATCCCAGTTTTCGCATTCAGAGGGGGCGCAGCGCTTTCCGGTGTATTAGACTTTGTTTTAATCTGTTCCGAGGAGCGTCTGACTTGTTGTTTCAGGGAATTTTGTTGTTTCCCTCAGCTGTTCTGCATCTCGCTCCTGATCGCCTTTCCATGTTGTGAGAAAAGGTCGTTAATGTTTAGGCACACCTATCCACCGTCCATCGGACCGCTTCCTTGAAAAGACTTAAAATAAACGCAAACAATCACCTGATCCGCGGAAGTAGTCACCAATGACGTCTTCGATTGTGGCGCTGTCCATTACCATTGGTTCTGAAATTCTCAGTCTTAATGATTTTTTTTTCTTTTACCTGAAGAACAATTAAATTCTTCACAACAATAGAAGAATGCTCCGTCAAACAAAGCGCCTTTTTTCGTCAATGACGAAGTACCTTACTGCGTTTCATAATTCACATGTATTTACAAAGCTGCAAAGCAGGCTACCACAAGTAACTTGGAGAACAACTTGGGGTACAGTGCCTTTTCCAAAGAGTTGGGGTGAGGGATCTAAGAGACAAGGCATTTTCCCAGAACCCAGGCGTCTGTCTTGTGTGGAGATGAATACAGCCATTATTGAACTCACACTCCAAGCACCAACCATTACCATTACTACTTTTACTGGAATTTCATGTTTTGTTTTGTTTTTTAAAGCCTGGCTATTTATGGATTTCTTGTAATCCTGTTACTCAAAAGACATGTTCCCTCTCTCAATCTTCCTAAGAGATTCAAGCAGACGTGCACGCTGTTCTAAACATCTTCCCTCTGCACCATCTTCTCATTTCCTGCTTAAAATATTAGAAGGGTGTTACAACCTGCATGGACCTGGAACTGAAAGTAACACAACTTATCTTGCTCTTTTCCTTGTTCTCTCTCATGCATAGAGAACATCAGCACTTTTGCTGCAATACTGTGTAAGTCTATCTAGTGGCACACCTCTATCTGCATACAAACCCAGGCTAAGTCAACATGTCCAGTCAGTTGGGATACAGCCTCTTGAAAACGGTAGTACTAAATGCATTCCTGAAACGTTAAAAAAAAAGTCTCTCAGTTTCTACAACTTAGTGTATAATTCGAAGGAATCTATCCTGTTTTATTAAGTAAATTCAACAGCATAGATGCTGGGTGAGCCTCAGGAGATGTTGGCTAATGTTTCAAAGAGTAGCAAACAGACATCTATGAGTGCCTTGTGTTGTAGAACAAGCTGATGGTTAGATGAAGGTGAGCACTGGTGGATAATGAACTCTAATGGAATACAAGTGGAGTCATGCTGAAATAAGTAAAAAACTCACACTTAGGGACTCACCGCTAGATTCAAGCAAACACTTGGTCTGACTTTAAATTTTCAGTTCATGCAGGTCATGAAAGGTTAGTTAACTGTTATGTGGCTTTGTATGTGGTGATGAGGGTTAGGGTTGTTTTTCTTGTGTGTGTGTGTGTGTGTGTGCGCGCGTGTGTGTTGGCTGATGAATGCATTAGTAAGATGTCAAAGGCGTCCTCTGAGAAGAGCTAGAAATGTGATTCTGGGTTGCTGGGGGGAGGTTGCTATGGTGAAGCTATGCTGAGCAATAAAAGATGGGCCCTGCTCTCTCAGACACAGGGGCTCTTGGGAGATACCTCCCCCAGTGAGCTTCCTTTTCTTTTCTTTTCTTTTCTTTTCTTTTCTTTTCTTTTCTCCTGACATTCCCTTGATCATTTTGTTACTGCTGCTGCATGAAATATTGATATGGTTATTTTACTTTCACAAATGTTTGATTTATATGCATACAATCAATTATACCATAGCAGTGAATGTACCGTTCTGAACTTGTTAAAAGATTTACTGAACTTTAAAAGATTAAAGTTATATCAATTTTTTTTTAAAAGTTGACAAGAAGAGTGCTTCCACCTATGAATAGCCAAAAACGTACTTTAGAAAGAATGCACTAAAATAACAACATGAACCAAATACAGCAAAACTGAATCCACCTGTGACTGCTGACAAGTTAAATTCTGTAATCACTGGGGGGGAAAAGAGTACACTTGTGATTTACTATTAACCTGTGAAAGTGTATGAACATATTTAAAATGGACAAAGAATGGACCAGAGAAAGGAAAAATTCAGACTGAGACAGAAGGAAAGGACAGCGCAAGACCTTTAACCAGCTAATAATTTGTTGATTCACAGTGTCAGGAGTAATCGGGACCCACGTAAAAATACCAAAAATCACACCCACAGCAGCTGTCCTCCTAAAATGACATCAAAGACACTGTGATACTTGCACAGTCTCGCTGTGAAAGACAAATGGGCAAATGTGTTATGGTCAAGAAAAAAAAAACTTATTTGGTGCTAAAGAACATAGAAAGAAGCTGCTGGGAGCTCTTGGAAACCAAGATAAATTTACTCTGTTGAGATGAGGTCGAGCATATTTGGAGTAAGTCTAACCTAACTGCCACAGTGAATGTATTGTCCCCACAGTGAACATACAGAGGGGGGAGCTCAGGTTGGATATTGGTAAGATTTTATTGAAGGAAATGTCATTATTGATTGTGTCTGTAGGTCCATTTCCCTTACTGATTCCAGATCAATGTTCTGTCTGGGGGGAAAAAGTTAGCGTACACATTTTTGTCAGCTTTAATGCAAGTGTTTTATATCTGAGCCTCAACAGTTTAAAAAACAGGCAGAAATGTATGCTATCAATTTGGAACTCACAACTCTCTTAAAAACATGCCAGGATTGATCACAGGATGGATCAAAGCTATGAATAAGCTTGGATGCATAACGTGCAGAGACTGGACACCTTGGAATTAGCTCTAAACTGCACCTGATTCTTGATTTTTGATTTTATTCATGACACCATGACTGTCTGTGGATAGACCAAAATATCAGGTGAAAAGATGACTTTCATTCTCCCAGATGTTTGGCTGAGGAACAATATTATAAAATATGAATATTACACAAAGCACACTAAAAAAACCATTTCTAATGAAGTTAAAACTATGGCCTGAGAAACACAGCCCCTGTAGCTGAACAAAACAATTCCCAAACTGGCTGAACATTTAATAATAATGTATACTTAATTAATCCCCGTGGGGAAATTCCTCTCTGCATTTAACCCATTCACTCTGTGAAGCAGTGGGCAGCCATTGGGCGCCCGGGGAGCAGTGTGTAGGGACGGCACCTTGCTCAGGGGTACCTCAGGGTAGTCGTTCAGTGGATTCAAACCCCCGACCTTCCGATCATGGGGGCCACCACCCTACCTACTGAGCTATCCCTGCCCCATTTCTCCAAAAATGTGTGTTACACAGATATTCCTAGGGTATTTAAAAGTAGAATGGGAGGCAGAGCCTTTGGTTGAGACCTTTTTCTGTGGAACCAGCTCCCAGCTTGGATTCGGGAGACACACATCTCAACTTTTAAGAATAGGCTTAAAACTTTCCTTTTTGATAAAGCATATAGTTAGGGTTGGATTAGGTGACCCGGAATCCTCTGTGTGTCTAGGCTTTTTTCCCCCTGTCTCCCTCCCCTCACCCCTGACTGGTCGTGGCAAATGACCACCCCTCTCTAAGCCTGGTTCTGCCAAAGGTTTCTTCTTGCTAAAAATTAGTTTTTCCTTCCCACTGTTGCCAAAGCACTTGCTCAGAGGTGGTCATCTGATTGTTGTAGTCTTGACCTTACAGTGTAAAGTGCCTTGAGGAAACTGTTTTGGGGCTATTTAAGTAAAATAGAATGGGGAAATTCCCCATGCAATGGAGGATAGGGTAGGTCATCAATTCTTAATGATTCCTAATGGATTAAGCAACACAGTGGAGTAGATTATTTCATTTTTATTATAATACATTTTAGCTGTCAGCTGTGTTGTTATTTTTTTTACTCGTATGTTCAGTCTAGAAGCCATATAATCATAGTAATGTTATTGATTTTTGAATTTTCTGACACTGATATAACATTCCTGGGCTATACATCCAACTGTAACCCTACATATGTGTACTTTATATATGAAATTTTAATATTCTACACCTGTTGCTCCTTAGACCTTTTGGATTACACACTCAAAAAACTGATCCAGTGTCACTAAAATAGTATGTTTACAAATATAACAAATATACATTAGAGTAACACAGTAATCTTATTTAACAAGTTTTCTTGGTACAAAAAAATTGAAAAGAAAACTGAGTGGATAAAGAGGTTTTAGAAAATGGAAGTGAAGTGGCTTATTCAGACATGATTGTGGCGAGAGAGAAAAGGACAGAATGGGTGTTCAAAGAGACTGAAAGAGTGAATTTAAGAGTGTGGAGCCAACAGACTGAATCTGGGCTGTTAGGGATGTTTCATCACTTTATCACAGCCTGACTTTAATTTTCTTTCCCAGCTGTCTCAGAAATTAACCCTAAGAATCATAAATTTTGCACATCAAAACCGTGCGCTGGTGGCAACACTGACATAAGCTCTAAATGTGAAACGTAGAAGTTTTCTTTGCACTCATAGTGTCACGTTGTCTAAGTGCATGTCCTGCCTCATAAAACATTTCCATCCCAAAAATGTATGAACCATCTGAATGAGCTGTCGATCATAGAAACGTGATCTAGCTTGAGGATGCGTAAAGCCACTTGGGCATAGAAGAAGCAGCCAGTGATTGCAGCTAATCAGCCAGTGTTCGTGCTGATTTTGATTTTTAACCCTCAACTCACTCCTGACCAAACTAATAACAAATGCTCAAACATTAGTGGAAATCCTGTTCCCAGTATTTGCAACAGTGCATTTGAATGCACTGAATAACAGATTGTAGATGCAGAAAACCGGCTTCAAAGCTACCTGGTGGAGATTTCCATACGCTGGTCTATGATATTGTAAGGTTCAGTAACAGTTAATGAGTGCCTGCAAATCAAAGGCACCTCATTCCAGATTCAAGATTCAAGACTCTTCATCGTCATCATGCAAGTGTAATGAAATTAAGACAATACTCCCTCATATGGTACAAGAAAAAAGGCTTAAATAATATCAATACAATACAATATAAAGACAGGATAGGAATACAAAGTACAATATTTAAACACAATTAACTGATTAACTGATGTATTATAGTAAATTATAGTGAGTTTGGCACTTAATAGTGCATTTATTTAGAGGCTATGTGTATGTCTATGTAACGTAACGAAAAGTGCACCTCACATGAGGTATTTTACATATTATAAAATGTACATAATGATTGCACATAAGGTTTGGAGTGTTACAGTTAGAGGTGGATGCAACTTTCTATGATTATTAGTTATTTAGTTGTTAGTGGTGATACAAATACAAAAACAGATTAGGAAATGCATAAGTATTTGAAGAGGTTTAAAGAGTTAAGACTGATTTAAAAAAAAAACACCTGAAATGCAAAGAGTTGTCAAAGACATTGATGCCTAGCAATGAGGGGAAAAAAACAGCGATGAAGCTGATGAAAACTAATGAGAAGCTCACAGTGAATTACTTCCTGGTGATTCTGGTCTGTCAGTGGATGTCACTGGGTGTATTCTTGAAAGCTTGTTGTCCCTTTAAGCTGATGTGATCAACAGATCTGACTCCTGAAGCCACGCCGACTTCTTTGCTTACAGTATTTTGACTCGGACTTGGCCAGTGTTCAAGGCAGAAAAGAATTCGTTGCTGAATTCTTAACTACACTCCACGGGCCCAGTGGAAGCCCCTATGCCTACTTCCAGTGACTACAGTGCACATTGAATTGTTGTCAAAAGATGAGACATTCTTGCCTGTAAAACTGAAAAACATCTCATTAAACAATTCTGCCATGGATGCTGGAATAAGACTGTCATAACAAATTTGCAACTTGAAGGGAAGAAAGACAATCCTCCATCCTTTACAGAGCTCTTGGGGATGACACCATCGCGATCAGATTCATTGGCTATGACAGCAAGCAACTGGCATAGCTGAAGTTTGGAAAAGTCAATAAGATGTGAGTTAACTCACATCTTATTGACTTTGTCGCCCTGCCAGGCAAAGTGAAGGAGAATTGATGTTGAATAGTGACAGACTTTTTGGATTATAAATAGTGATTAGAAACATCTCCCTCTAAAACAGCTGCTCTTCCTTATGGACTGTTTACATGCACCCATGTTCTACAAGGTAGATGTCACTTGATTGCTTATGCCTGAGTTCAAGAATCTACTGCATGTGAACTAGGATAGAATATCAGTACTTCATCTCTTCCCCTTAATTGTAGTGTAATATTGGCATGTTGGACGACTCTTCCACATTTATTCACATTAGCAATTTGAAATCTACAGAATTAAACGGGACAGGGCTGACAATCGACAGGCATGGTTTGATTTCTTGGATTAAGATACTGTGTGTATTTGATTTAAGTTCTAATAAATTCTAATATATAAGTTCAGGCAGGAAATTCAAGAGCCAGACTTTAAATTCAAAGTCTAACCTTTCAATATTCATAATGCTCCAATGTTTTATTCTCTTAAAAGTGGAGGGAAGATTTTCTCAGTGAAGAGCTTGGGTGAATAGAAGGTGCCTGAGGGCTTGGGAACTTCAGAATCTCAGATCCACAGTGGTCTGCCCTCAAATGGTTTTTGACATGGTTATGGGTGAAAACAGGACATGTCTGCTCCCAGTTAGATATACTTTGCCGAGAATAGACTTTAGCTTTCTGCAACATATTTGTCTCAGGTTCATAAAAGTTGCATGCTGATCGAGTGAACGGTCGATGTGTGGCTCCTTTTATCTCTGAGCTTCTCGTGTTAACTTTCAACATGAAGACCCAAATTGCTGTTTTAATTTTTGTAGTTTCGAACCTGCACATGCACATTCACATTCACACTCAGTGTGTTTTTGGCTTTTGCACAGGTATCAACAAAGGAAGCTGTTTTCGGATCAATCATTTTCCAGAGGATAACGACTACGATACAGACAGCTCAGAGTACATCTTACGTAAGTCACTGCAACCGCTTCATCTTCAAACACTCCAACACTTAATCCCTCTCTCCCTGCTCTTTCCTTCTTTTTTTTCTTGAATGTGATAGAGTTATTACCAGGCTACTTAATGTGTTATGGCATGTCTATCCCTTTCCCATAAAAAGCCTGATGTCATGACAGCAATTGGAGCAATGGAGATAATGAAGTGTGTTGTGTGCCGAGTAATAAGGCCCGTCCAAAACAAGCCAGACTTTGGCCACATGAGAGCAGATTTCATATTTGGCCTTGGCCTTTTGCTTAATACCCTTGTTAAAAATAAATAAACAAACAGATGCACTGAAAATTACAAAGCATTTAATCATTTTACTGAATATTTATTTATGTTTCAGGTTTCAGATCAGCTCTGTGCCTCAAGCCAACTGTTACCATTTCGTGTGTTGTCCACAATATGAATTTCAATAAGCTCAAGAAAAATTTATTCTGGAATCACTTGGTTATGTTTTTTTTTTTTTTAAAGGCAGCTGAATATGCTAGCTGGACTGTGTATCTGTAAAAACCTTTATGCGCTGAACCACTGGACATTATTTCACTTCATTTGTTTCACTCGTGGAAGAGTAATGATGCTTGTTTGGCAGGGCGTGTCACCTACTGCCGTTTATTCAGCTTTTAGGCTGCTCACAAATTCCCTCTAGTGGCATTTAAGTGTTGGACATCAATTCAAGTATTAAACAGTTTTTTTATTTTAAACATACCCATCACAATTTTTGCCTATATGCTAACTGAAACCATTTAGAAAGAGAAATTACTATATTTCTATATTTTGCGGGAAAAAGATAAATTGTATCGGTTTAAATTCTGATGATAAAACAAGGCGAATAAACGATTCCAGTTATTTTACTAATGTGTGGTGCTGTACTGCAGTAACTGTAAAAAATAAAAACTTACAGTATAGCTGCCTAGCCTGTGGGTTAGACTTGGATTTGTAGTTTTGGACTAGAAAATGTGTTAAAGGCTTGGGCTTGGGTTGGCAAGTGAGACTGCAATCAACCAAAGGATTGCTGAAGCACAGACAATATTCTGGTGTTAAGCAGTGAGCATTTAAAGGTAACTTCAGCAGCTACAGTCAGTGGGGCTTTGTTCAGACTCTATGCACCTGTAAGTAATCTTGCACTCACTCAAAGCAGAGAGAGAGAGAGAGAGAGCCTGCAGACTAAAGAAGACAAGACAAAACAGAGGCCTTGGCAACAACCACTGTTACTGTTAGCAGTTCCGCTAAGTCCTCATGTGGTGCTCACTAAAGCAATAATGAAATGGTGAAATGTAAAAAATTTAAAAATGATTCTAACTGATGAGATGGTGATGGATTAGCTGAACTGTTTTAGTAAGGACCTTGGAAATATGAGTGAATTACTTTTTAGTGGAAAACTAAACTTGTCAGCCACATAAGGTCATTGTCAGTCAATCATTCTTTTCATCACTTTTAGCCTGCACACAGGTTGTATGGACCCTAGAAGATTATTGAACATTTGTTGGAAAGCTGAGTTCATTTTCACTAGCCTTCACCAGTGTTTAATCAAAAATCCCTTTCTCAGTTGGAACCTGTCTGACAAAGTGAGGGATGCTAAAAGTTAAAGAAGGTCAACAAAGGATGAGAAACATAGTGATTGACATATTTTAAACAGGAAGTTGTAGAATAGGAGGCAGAGCCTTCGGGCTGCAGGCCCATGTTCTGCACAACCAGCTTCCTGTTTGGATTTGGAAGACAGACACTCTGTACTTTCAAGATTAGGCTTAAAACTTTCCTTTTTCATGAAGTTTATAGTGAGTGCTGTATAACGTGAGTCTTAGTCATGCTGCTTCTATCTAGGCTGCTGGTGGTTCCCATGATGCACTTTCTTTTCCACTCACCTTTTTACTCCCTGTCTTTATGCACCACTCTGCATTTAATCCCTAGTTATTATTCATCTCTGACTCTCTTCCACAAAGTGTTTTTTTTGTCCTGTCTCCCTCCGCCCACCCCTGAATGATCGCGACAAATGGCTGTCCCTCTCTGAGCCTGGTTCTGCCAGAGGTTTCTTCCTGTTAAAAGGGAGTATTTCCTTACCACTGTCGCCAAAGCACTTGCTCAGAGGGGGTCATCTGATTGCTTGGGTTTTCTCTGTTTTCTCTGTATGATAGTTGGGTCTGTAGTATCTGTAGTCTAGGATCAAACACCTGTGAAACTAATGGTATTTCTTTCAGTAGTAGTTGTCCTTTTTTAGTTAGTTCTCTTACCCATTAGACATAATGTCTGTGTGCCAGTATGTAATATAATCTAATATTGGGGGGTATATATTTTTCACCTGTGCTCCACTTTACAGTGGTTATCTTCTCTTTTTGAAGTAGTTTACATTATATTCTCAATTGTGCTGACAAGACATTTTCACACTCTCTGTCTCTCTCGTCTAAACAGGTATAGTTCGTGCATCAAGCCTGTTTCCAATTCTCAGCACCATCCTGCTGATGTTGGGTGGCCTGTGTGTTGGAATTGGACGCATCTACAGCAGCAAGAACAACATCCTGCTCAGTGCAGGCATCCTGTTTGTAGCTGCAGGTAGGACGAGTCAGACAGCGTACCACAGATAAAGAATCAAAACCAGGGTGACAACAAATAGATCGTGTGTAGTGCAAGAGAGTGAAAGAAGGAAAAGGTCAGGTTTTATTCTGAGATACAGTGCACTTCAAAAATACCTTAAGTCATTAGAGTGCACCTTTCTCACACTCACAAAAGGACAATGGCAAAAACACTGATTTTCTTTACATGTAGAGTCTCAGTTTTGACCTTTCCTACAACAGCATTCCTTCTCTCATTTATCCTCTCTTCAGGCCTGAGCAATATCATTGGCATCATCGTCTACATCTCCAGCAATGCCGGCGACCCGAGTGACAAGAAAGACGAGGACAAGAAGAACCAGTACAGCTATGGTTGGTCTTTCTACTTCGGTGCCCTCTCCTTCATTGTAGCAGAGTCAGTGGGCGTTCTTGCAGTCAACATTTATATTGAGAAAAACAAAGAGACGCGCTCCCGATCCAAACGTGACTTCATCAAAAGCACCTCATCCTCTTCGCCGTACTCTCGCATACCAAGTTACCGCTACAGGCGGAGGCGATCGCGTTCCAGTTCCAGGTCAAGTGACCCATCCCGTGAGCCCTCCCCAGTGGGAATGAAGATTGGCGGAGGAATTGGGGGGGGACCAGGGCTGGGGCTGAATTTGCCAGTGGGCGGTATATCCCTTTATTCCCTGAGCAGGGACCCTTTGAAGGGTGGAAGTGGTACTGCAAGGCCCTACAGCCCAGAGCGGGACTCCAGGTTTTTACAAGTCCACAACTGCTTCCAGAAAGATGTCAAGGATGGAGGAAACAGGAGAACCACTCCAGTATGAGGTCAGGAGTGTATCCAACAATAAACTTGATGGTACACATTAGATGTTTACAGTTGATGAGAAAAGGGTATTTTCTCGCCAGGACTGTTTTTGGCAGCGGCAGCAATGAAAGGTCCGAATTTAGAGTTGCTTTTCTTACATCCCTCTGTGATAGAAAAACACCAGTATTTCAATGGGTGAGAGAGAAAAATGACTTTTAATGATTGTGGTTGCCACAATTTTGTAGCAATATTTGAAGAGTTTGGTTTTTGAAAAATATAATGCTTAAAATCTGGAAGGAATATTCTGCTCTTACAGAAAGAAATGTGCCCGTCCTTGTATTCTGTAAAGGTAGTCATTTATGACGTTGCCTTGAACCTTTAGTCTCAGAAAAGGAATTCTTTTGATTAAGATGAAAATAACCTGCCAAACTTGTTTGCAAAAGTGATCTATGTAACCGTTTGTTATCAGAATATAATCGTATTGTATTTGTTTGTACCTTAACACAAATGGTGCTAACTCAATCTGTACATCTTTTATAGTTTTAAGCCTTTCAAAGCCCATTTGAATACTTTTATTGCGTCTTAATAACCTTTACCATGTACATGAGTCATGTCATAAATATGTGTTGCCGTATGTGTGTGTGTGTGTGTGTGTGTGTGTGTTCCTGTCTAGCTATCTTTGTGAGGACCGAAATCTGCATTCTACTATTCTTGTGAGAACCACAGTCACTTGTGAGGACACACAACCCGGTCCACACAAGTTTGAAGGCCTTTTTGAGGCTCAAAATGTTTTAGTGTCAGGGTTACAATTAGGTTATGGTTAGGTTTAGGGTTAGGGTTAGGCATTCATTTTTAATGGTTAGCGTAAGGGGCTGGGGAAAGCATTATGTCAATGAAGGTCCTCACTAAGATCGCTGGACGGGTGTGTGTGTGTGTGTGTGTGTGCGTGCGTGCGTGCGTGAGTTATGAATCTCAAACACGCCTACCACACCATGGCGTAATTGTGCTATGAATATGGATCTCTGTATATATACTGTATATTAAAAGTGACAAGGCACATATTAATGTCAGTACATCCAGTATGCTGTGTAATGTGTCAGTGTTTATAGGTACAGACTGCCTGTGTAGTTTGTTCTCCATTCGCTCAGGGACGATGTACAGAACAAATGAGTTCCTTTCCTAAGCCAGACAGACTGTTACAGCTGGCGTGTTTAAAGGCATAGGTTATATCATGCTCTTTGTGTTGCTGTTCTCTAACAGGACTCCTGCTTCTGCCTTTACTTTCTTTGTGTTGGGGAAGGTTTTATGGGAGGGCTGTCTGGTACAGAGTTTTGATCACGCTCCGAAAAATACACTTGCAGACACTTGTAATCTCATATTTAAGTATTTCTGTATTATTACTGATCCATATCAAAATCAGCTGTTGGGGAAGTTGTGGTTTTCAAAACAAAAAAACAAAAAACAACAATAAAGATTTTTGTGTGAGGATGTAATAATGTGACTTTGTTTTGTATAGTCTAACTGTATAGATTTGGCATTATTATAGCAATGATGACTACAGTTAACCACAGATCCATTCATGCTCTTAAATGTTTTGGATTAAAGTTATTAATTATGCTCAAAGCAATTTCCCAAAAAAGATTTCTCTTCAAACTAATACCACAATAGACGTTGGTGCTATTGAACTAGCTAGCTAGCGTCTCTCAGTGACTTCCTTATATTTACATGCACTGTGTCTGTGGCATGTCTGATTTGGCAGATTTTTATACCTGATGCAACCAATCCCAGTCTCAATCTGGTGATATTTCATGTGTTAGGTGAGTGTCTAAACCACTAATGGATAGAGTGGATTACTTTATAACCCACCTGGACCCTAGAGTTTGGGCGTTCTTTGAACCTCTTTCATTGATATCTGTTCCTTCAAAAGCAGCTACAACAATTGTTGTCTGCTAGATTTCACTAGAGTCATTAAAATGTCTGTTTCCACCCAGTTTTTGCTTCTTTTTGGGGTGAAATCCTTTTTTTTATTAGCCATTTAATTACTAATAATAATAATAATAATAATGGATTGGATTTATATAGCGCTTTTCAAGGCACCCAAAGTGCTTTACAATGCCACTATTCATTCACTCTCGCATTCACACACTGGTGGAGGCAAGCTACGGTTGTAGCCACAGCTGCCCTGGGGCAGACTGACAGAAGCGAGGCTGCCATATCGCTGCCATATAATAAGCAAGTATATGCACATCTGCATTAAACTGGACATGAATACAGCTTGCTAAACAAGCTTGCTAGCATTAGATGGTAACATTAGCTAACACAAATATATGGAGAGTTTTTAACACTGCAATCTCCCATTTAAATTGTGACTTCCTTATGGGATAATTTGACTACTATATATGAGCACATTTTGTATGTGTGTGTGTGTCAACGGGATATAATTAACTTAGTAAGCATGGCCACCCCCATGCAAATTTGTCAAGCTCATCCACCAGGGAGACAAATTCTAAAACTCAACTTTCAGCTGTCTTCACATTTGGTTTAATGCAAAATATGAGCTGAGACTCAGTCTGAAGAGACAGCATGCCGTTATTTTTCATAGCCTTTGCTTTTCCTCGTAGAAGTAGGTAATGACGCAGGGCTGATAGGCCTGTTATGTTCTACTATGAAGCTGCATGAAAGACAGGCGGCCAACCACAGGGTGTTAAAGGAAATCGGCATCAGCCAAGTTAATGCTTGACTGAACTAACAGGCTCATAAATGCTCATCCAGACTTTGAAAAGCTTGTCCCCCTGTCTCCAAACAAGAGCTGGAGTAAAGTGGGTGTTTTGTATGTGTGTGTGTGTGCGGGAAGGGCTAGTATAAGTTCAAATTACTCATTCTTGGTATAGTACATCATGCTTGTCAGGCTTCCGTGTCATGGTTTGCTTCCCTGTTGGGTATTTTTAGCAGAAGCTGGAATCGGTTTAATTTGGTTGTTGGTTTTCGGAAATCGGTGTCACAGTGGTTGCACTGTGTGTTTAAGGCTACCGATCCATGAGAGGAGAGCCTGTATAGTCGCTGTAAAGTCCCTGCTCTCCCCGCTATCGTTGTCATTCAAGTCACTGAAGTGGACAAGGGTATGCCTTGAATTACAATAGACTTATTTTCCATCCTGCTTGTGTGTGATGTATCTTTATTATGCTGAACTGCTCTGATGGCCCGGTTTCCATCCCAGCCCTGAATTTGAGCAATTCATCTTTCACCCCTCTCTCCAGCCATCACCCAAGCTGTTAAGCCCTATGAATGCCATGAGCCCCCGCTGATATTTTCATCCATAAAAAAGCTATGCCCCCCTCTCTCTACCCCCACCCCTTCCTGTTGGGCGCCATCAAATTCTTCTCCAGTAATTGAGAGGAAAATGGCAGGGTCACCTCTCCATGCAGTCGCAGGACTAGCCAACATGCTTGTTAGCAGTAGTATCTTGCTGTTCAGGAAGGATAGAATAAGATTTCAGGATTTAAAGTCTGGTCCTGTCTTTGGACACAGGGGACAACAGCTCATACTTTATCTATCTTTGTATGAAAAAACACGCACACAAATGCCATAGCAAAGGTTTTACAACAGCAACACTTTATTTTACCAGGTAAACAAGTGTGTGAGCTATAATTGTCCTAATTCCAAATCTAAACTGGATATATAAAGTTAATCAACCGACAATATTTATTGCTTTGACTTAAGGGACTGCACAAAGAAAAATCATTTTTGTGCGCTGTAACATGGTACTGCTACAAGGTCAGCCTCATACACCATGTTGTTGGCTTGAAGATATAAATATCATCTCCTGGGTCTAGGTACGGTTTGCCCCTCTGGGGGCAGGTGTACCTGGACCTGGGATATAGAGTATGTTTGGTGAGTGTGAATGTGTGTACAGTGTCTATTTGTGTCTGTCTCCACGTCGGGTGAGTGCCGAGTATTTGTTTGTGTATATGGGGGTGAGAATGCACGTTTGTGTCTGCGTGCGCCTGTTCGTCTGTGTCTATATGTCAGGTTGGGTCTTAGACTCCACCTCTCTGGGAACATCTCAGGCTCTCCGAGGTATGAAGGCCTACCTCCCCTCACCACACTCCCTGCCGATGGCTGATGCCCTCAGACGTTGGTGTGTTGGTGGTTCCTGGGAGTCTGGGGATGGGCACTCATGTATGTACCAACTCAATCCTGGTGGCCGATTGGCGGGGCCTGGCGCCTGTGGCCCGGCTGGGCCCCTTCCGGGGGGTGGGGTGCCCTCAGGCCTCTTGCCTCTGGGCCTGAGGCTCGGTCCTCTCTGACACAGCTGGCTGCCGGCAGAGCCCGCGGGCACGTCACTGCAACCCCCTCTGGCCTCTGCTCCGTGGCTGCTGGGTGACCTCTCGTTTGGGGCTCTACTCAGCTCTTCCCAGGAGGGTGGCACGGTTGCCCGTGGTCCTCCTTGGGTCCTCGTACTCTGGGGCCTGGATCTCCTCCATACCTGCTTCATGCCCTGGGGGACGGGGCTATGGCTCCCCACACTCCCTAGCAGATCGTTACTTGGAGAAACCTTTTAAATACAAGCGTGTTGATCCACACAGGTTCACAGACACAAACTACACCTTTCTTGGCTGCTACCTCAAAGCACATTGTGTGCTGCCGATCTTGCGTACTGCACAATAACATTTAATATTTAGTATCTACTGTTATCTACTGTTAGCTAGTTTATTGTGATGGTGTTGTATTTATTATGTTGTTCTTTTTTGTTTGTTTTCTCTTCTTTCTTTCTTTTTATCTCCATACAGGTGATCCAGGTGTTTTGTTTGTTTTTCTTTTTTTTCTTTCCCCCTTTCTCACCATCTCTTCTCTCCTCTATTTTTCTTTCTCTCCCTCTCTTTCTTTCATCCTTTCTCCCTGTCCTATCCTCCAGTCTCATCTGTAACAACCAAAAATCAAATCAAATAAATACATAATTATAATAAAGGTCACTCAAATGGACCAATATGGCAAGGCCATGATGATCCACTTGGTAAAGTAAATCCGCTTGGCATCTTTCTTGGATTTCAGACAACAATTCTGATGCCTAAAGATCCAAATGGGACAGGCAAAATAAATAAATAAATAAATAAGACATGCAGCTTGTGGGGATAGGTTAATTGGATAATCCAAATTGTCACTAGGTGTGAATGTGCGAATGAATGTGAGTGTGAATGGTTGTCTGTCCCTGTGTGTTAGCCCTGCGACAGACTGGCGACCTGTCCAGGGTGTACCCCGCCTCTTGCCCTATGACAGCTGGGATAGGCTCCAGCGCCCCCCGCGACCCTGAAAAGGACAAGCGGAAGCGAATGGATGGATGGATGGATGGAAATAAATAATACAATTTAAAAATGAAGATATAAATACAAATCCAGGATCAGGTAGGTTAGGCAAACAAAATTTAATGGCAATAAAGCTAAAAAGGCCATGGAGCACAGGGAACATCCGTCCATCCATTTGAAGAATAGCCCAGCTGTCATCGGGCCCCACAGGGGGAACAAACAGAGAAGCAGATGATCTGACAGAGCAAAGGGAAAGACAAGGCTACACTGGAAACGAGGCACAGGTGGACACAGTTAGGAAAGTGTAGAGGCAGACATACAGGAACTCAAACTCAGAGGTGGCCTTCACAAGGAAAACCCATTAACAAAGCATAGGATGTGACTAGTTTTGTAATATGTCATCTTCCTATTGTTTATTAGCACAGAATGTGTTGTGAGGCTACAGAACGAATGTGAAACTCAGATATGATTTCCTCTGCTTGATCACATCTCTCTGGTTCCTCCCGATTTCTTTTTGAAAATTTAAAATGGC